CCACCCTCATTCACCCCACTCTGGGTCCCTGAGCAAGGCCCTTAACCACCATCTGCTCCATAAACAGGTCTCCTTTGAAAATGAGTTATCGTGGCTCAATGAGACTGCCTGGATAAATAAAGGGTAAAGTATCAGTGGACAGTGACCAATATAGACAGGTTGGCAACTCGGACTTGACTCAAGGTTACAGGAAAATATATAATTCTGAGAATTTGTGACTGATGAGCTGCAGTCACGTTTTGAGCAGCTGACCTTTGAAAATAACAGTTTTTGTATGGAAAACTGTATTCTAGGCTTTGTATATTGTTTCATTACCAACCTCCACCCACGTCCTTTTGTACTAAGAGTGGAAATATTAAGCCTTTTTTATGTAATTTGATTATGATTTAGAGGGCTGAAATGTGATTATAAAATGGTTTAATGCATCTCACTGCACCCATATGCACACTATGAACACATTATGAACACAATGATGTGCTCTACTGAGAGACTAAAGAACTTGCTAGTCCCTTGTGCCATTAGGCTGTATAACTCGGCCACTCCTGGCAGGAACAAGAGAAGCTAGCTAGTTATGTCCCCTAACATAGTTGTTGTTGATCTCCTCTTTTAGTGTTGTTTTTATTTATTGATCGATTTTTTTAATACTCCATTTTTTATCTGGTGGGTCTTTTATCTTATTGTTTGTATGAATGGGAGCTACAGACTTCCACATAGTTTCCTTCAGGATCAATGAAGTATCTATCTATCTATCTATCTATCTATCTATCTATCTATCTATCTATCTATCTGTCTATCTGTCTATCTGTCTGTCTGTCTGTCTGTCTGTCTGTCTGTCTGTCTGTCTGTCTGTCTATCTAAAAGACACATTCCACCTGAAGACCTTGCCAAAAAGATACATTCCACCTGAAGATCATGCTTAAAAGGCACATTCCACCCAAAGACCGTGCCTAGAATTCAATTCAATTCAATTCAATTCAGTTTATTTATATAGTGCCAAATCACAACAAAGTTGTATCAGGGCACTTTACAGAAACATTCACATAAAAGCCAATTAGTAAAGTTCTCTATCTAAGGAAGGTGAAGACACATTCCATCTGAAAACCATGCCTAAAAGACATGCTCCACCTAAAGATCATGCGCAGAAGAGACATTCTACCTGCAGTCTCTGTCCAGAGGACATGTTTCACTTGTTTCAGTGTCTTTACATCAGCTACAAGTTTCTTCATGTCTCTGTATCTGTTTTTTCTGTCTGAAAAGTTCTGCTGCTGTTTGAACGCCTGCTGTCAGAAAAACTGTGAATATAAAAATTATTCTGTCCGTCATGTTAAGGGAGCTATGAGAGGGTGGGACTGCCGCTGCTTTTTTACTTCTT